TTCCCTATTTGGAGCATCAAATGAAGACTTCATTGGGTTTTATAGTGTCTTTCTGATTTTGGTAGTCCATTGAAGAAGGGAGTTTGAAAGTTGTTGTATACTGTTAACGATTGTCTGCCCATGTCCTGCCTGAAATACCATGATTGTTTATGAAAAGTATCTTTAATAAAGCTGGATACAGTTTGGCTTGGAATGCTGCCTCTGATCTTTTCCCACTAGTGGGGGAGTCTGTGTTCAAGTCTGTCTCCCAACAGGATGTATTCTGCTTTTAATTAAGGTTGAGATAGATTTCCATGAACAGTCAATCCGTTATTTATAAGTTACTCTATAAAACACCCAGTGCTGGGTGGTGGTGGTAGAAAGGATACCATTAATCGGTGGCTCATGTTGAGAGGTTGGGAACAGAGAAGTGGTTCCTAAACTTAACCTAACATTCCCCAAGGTGTATTTCCAATGCAGCATTTTGGTAAATCTGAGATTGAAGCCTGGTAGTTGATGACAGCCTCTCCACTTTTACAGCTGCTCTAGAACTAGCAAATTAACAGTTTATCAGAAGAAAGTGCCCTGTCTATACAAAATTGACGACAACATGTATAAGGCAGATTAGAGTTGCCTACTAAGCAGACTTCCAAATCTGAGTTGATTAAATTGCCATTACTTAACCATGCTAGCCCCAAAGTAAGCAAGTTAATGGAGACTTTGTTCTTCAAAGAACCCTTTCCTCTAGTATAAAGTAGCAGGGAGCTGTCTGTTGGAATGTAGTATTTGTAATAAACTGGTGGTGCTTGTTGTCTTGAGTTTGCTTTCACAGGCTGCCCCATTATTTGAAGGGAATGAAATGATGGAGGCTTACAGTGCCTTGTCTGTTGTCTCTCAAAGTTAGAGTTCTGTTCTTACTGTATATCACCACTGATCAATCTTGAAACAATTGTGTAATGCAAGTATAATACTCATTTTATGGAGGAAACAAGCTCAGATGAAGAAATTTATTCAGGGTGTGTGGACCTCTAATAGTACCAAAGTCAGGATTCAAATCCCTAATTTGGTTATAAAAAATGCTGATTTAGACTTATTTTAGGATCCTTTCTGGATAAAGTATTTGTCCATATGTGCAGTTTTCAGCCATTTGTCTTCATTATTGCTAGTCTATTTCTGGGTTTTAGGTTTTACCTTTTACACGTTTGGGGTAGTGTTGTCTTCCACAGTGGAAACTATTACAGCTATCTTAGATGAGTTAGGGGTACAGGTAGCATTTTCCGTATTTGAGCAGAAATTAAAGAATTGGGAAGTCACAGGTGGGATTAATTTATCACTATCTGCATGGGTTCACGTTCAAGATGCTTGAGCAATGGACAGTGCTAGGAGGTGTGTCGTATTGTCTGATTCTCAGGTCTTCATGTGAAGGGGAGATGTTAAAAGATACTACAGATAAGGAATGGACTCGTGAAATGACTGGCCACTGTTAAACTCAATACCTGGTTGGTTGTGTGTGTTTCCTTCTGTTACCAAAACATTAGGATCAGTAGAGTGAGCTTGAAGTTTTTTTTCTTCATTGAAAATAGTCACTGATTTGACTGGCTTATGGGTGCCTGGGCTTAAAATCTGAGAAATCATGCATCAAAGTGTGATAAGAATCTTGGTTCAAGGCAGCTATAATGGCACGTTGCTCAGCCAGCCCTGTCCTGAACTAAGGTCTAATGTAAACTCCCTATCCATTCTGTTTCTAACCCCATTCTTATACCCCATCTTAGAAAAAGAGTCAGTAGTAACTTGAATGAAGAAGCTTTGGGTTATAAGTAAAATAATAAAATGACTTAATGTTTTATCTCCTAAGATAAGAAGTCCTGAGGTAGGCTGGCTCCAAGGACCCAAGTGGATGTTTTTACTGTACTGCCATCAGCATGTTTTCCAAGTACCTCATCTCCAAGTCAGCTGCTCCAGGCATCACAGCTTGTCACACCAATGTCCAGAGGCAGAAGGACTGTTTCTTCATATTTATTTAAAAATGAAATAGTTCCTAGAAGCCCGAGTTCATTAGGCAGAACTGGGTTACCTGCTCACTTCTTAACCAGTCATGGTGAGAGGAATGGAACCACAGAATTTGCTTAGATCAGCAGGATTATTGCAATTGTAGGGGGTTGGGGGGTTGCAGATAGATGACTGAAGAGGAAAAGGGCTGTCAGGTTGACAGTCTCGTTACATACACACACTTAGGTGATGTCAAGGCCCATGGTCTCTGCATATCATCTTACCTGACTTCTCTGCAATGTTTGTTGAGTACTAGCCCTGTAGTGCCTAAGGCACTTGACTGCTAACCATCACGCTGGCGGTTCAAACCCACCAGCCACTCCTTGGAAGGAAGGTTGGGCAATCTACTTCTGTAGTGATACTGCCTTGGAAACCCAAGGAGGGGTCGCTATGAGTTGGGTCTGACTCAACAGCACATAACAACCACCGCCCCCTTTTGGAAGCTCAGGTGGCATAGTGCCTAAGCCATTTATTTGACTGCTAACCAGAAGGCTGGTGGTTCAAACCCACCATCCACTTCTTGGAAGGAAGGTTGGACGACCTTTCCGTAGTCATACTGCCTTGGAAGCCCAAGGAAGGGGTTTTTATGAGTCAGATCCGACTCGGCAGTGAGTTAACCCCCCTTTAAATTAAGATACAATTTACATACCATAAAATTCACTATTTTAAAGTGTAAGTTAATGGGTTTAAACAAAGTTGTGCACTTACCACCACTAATTCCAGAACATTTTTATCACTCCAAAAAGAAGCCCCATACCATTTAGTCATTCCCTTATCCCCTGGCAGCCACATGATGTCTCAAGATAAAGATTGGTGTTAATCTAGATATTTTAAGTGAATCATACAATATGTGGGCTTTATGATGAAAATTTGAGTATTTTAGTTTTTTAAATAATTTCTGTGAAAGTTCACAGCAAGTTCATTTTCCATATAGCAGCTCACATTTTTGTTTCATGACATTGACTGCAATTTCCCACAATACATCAGCTCCCCTCTCACTTTCTCCCAGTTACCTCTTCCCTATGTCCTTCCCTCCCATGGACTCCTGCCCTCCCAGCTGTCTCCCTGTGCATACCCAGCCCTTCTATTCTCCTATGATTGATCTCTCCAAGGAGCATCTCTACCTATTGTAAATGTTCACCTCATTATACCTGTCTTTTGTTTGGCTGGAAGCCACAGGAGTAAGTTCAATTCCAGACCTGAAGGAGAGCTAGAGGCTGTAGTCTCAGGTTCTACCAGGCTTTATCAGACCAGTAAACCTGGTCACCTTTTATTTTATTTTAGAATTTGAGTTTTCCACTATCTAGGATCTCCTATGTAGATCCTGCTCTGAGTGGTTGACATTGGGTTTTTCTAGTTTCTAGTTTTTCTGGTCTCATAGTTACAAAGGGTGAGGATTGCATGGTGTACCAGTCTCTTAGCCCGATTGTTTCCATGCAACTTTGATTTTCTTCATTCTTTGATCTGGATGAGGAGAGACCCATCATTGCATCTAGATGGCTGCCTGCAAGCTTTTAAGATCCCAGTCACTACTCACCAAATTAGGATGTAGAACAGTGTTTTTGTGTACGATGTTATGCCAGTTGAGTTTGATAAGCCCTGTGACCATGATCCCGAGCTCACAGGTCCAACTACTTGCTCCCTTTAGGTAACTGGCTGTGGCCAAGAAGTGACTACAACCTTGTCCCTTGTCAGCTCTACTATATACCTAGAAATTCTTACAGAACATACAAAAACACTTGTAGAAATATTGTCTGCTAACCCTATACATGGTCATGGACACACTCCCCCCTGCATAGACACACCTAATTGTTCAGCTTGTCCACTCTTCTATCCACCCATAGATCAATGTTTGCCATCACTGACAATGCACTACTGTATGTGCAAAAGGGTTCATCTTTGTTGTCTGTACCTCTTAAGCACCTCTCGATGTCTTCCTCCTCATGCCACCGTGTTGATGACTCACATTTGGTATATTGCCCTTCCTTCACCCAAATCATACTTGTCTCTACCTGTCTAGCAGTGTTCCTCCTTTCCCCTCCCCACCCTGGTTCAATTAATATGTTTTCAAGAGTCATCCACGTTGTAGCATATATCAGTCCATCGTAACTCATTGCTGAATTATATTTAATGTATGGATATAAAGAACTTTTGTGGCATAGTGTCTAAGGCATTTGACTGCTAACTAGAAGGCTGGCAGTTCAAACTCATAAGCCACTCACTCCTTGGAAGGAAGATTGGGCACTCTACTCCCATAGTGCTACTGCTACAGAAACCCAAGGAAGGGTCACTATGAGTTGGATCTGACTCAACAGCAATAAGTATGGATATATGACATTTTGTTTTATCAGTTGATGAATGTTTGGATTGCCACGTTATGGCTATTTTGAAAGAAGTTCTGGTGGTATAGTGAATAAGGCGTTTGGCTGCTAACCAGAAGGTCAGTGGCTCAAACCCACCAGCCACTCTGTGCAAGATGGGGCAATCTGCTTCTATAAAAAGTCAGCATCAGAAACCCAGTGGGGTTGCTATGACTCAGAGTCGACTAGATGGCAGTGAGTTTGGTTGTGGGTTTTTTGTTTTTGCTTTTTTTTTGG